AGTGTTCCGGTATGGACTGCACCAGCATCTCTTTTCTAAGTTTTTTCAGTTCTTAAATTCATCAATCAATCCTTTTATTTATGTGATAGGCCTGCATTTAAAATGAATATTTACCATAAATTAAAGGTATCTTATATTATTAGATATATTATTATAAAACATGCTTTAGTTAAGGAGTTATTGATACTTACAGTGCAAAATGATGATATAAAATCATGATAAAAATGCACTTTTAAGTACTAATCACTAACAAAACAAGAATCAGCGTATTTGGACTTCTAAAACTCAAGATATGGGCTGAATACTGAATAGAGTCTTGGCTACATGACAGATTTTGACTTCTCTATTGTTGCTACCATTTGAACTCGAAAATTGCACTTTAAATCTTGGACTCTTTATGAAAGTTTTAGGCCTATGTCTTAGCTTTTCATACATATAAACCGTATCTAAATCCAAGTTCTATAGCTCTAGTTATGATCCAATAACCGAATGGTGTTGTACTTTGGACTGAACCAATATCTCTTTTCTAAGCTTAGCCCTCTCTTTGTCTTCTTAATTTTAGTAATTAAATACATCAATCAATATTTTTGTTTATGTGATAGGCCTACATTTAATATGAATATTTATCATAAATTAAAGGTATATTATATTATTAGACATATTATTATAAAATATGCTCTAGTTAAGGAGTTATTAATACTTCAAGTGCAAAATAATGATACAAAACCTTAATAAAAATACACTTTTAAGTATTAATCCACCTAATTTTTCATTTGATCATAGATCTTGGGATCTACAATTAACTAGATATGGTTATTATCATTGTACTCTTTTATCTTTTAAAAGCTTTATGCACATTCTCCTTGATTTATACACAAGCTCTATCGACAGACCTTTAGTTAGTGAATACGCAATATTATGAAAATAACTTCATTTGATAGTAAGTGTTTAATGATATTATGTTTACAACATATATGTCTAAATTTTTCATTATACATACTACTCCATTCCTTTCTAATTGTTGACTAACTATCATAATGGACACAAATAGTTGTCACTAGTTTTATGCATTCAACTTGAAATATCCTCTAAAAAATTCTGAATCCATTCGAATTCCATTACAATTTTATTAAGATTAATGAAATATGATTTTATCATGGATTTAGCGATACACGTTTATTTGAAGGATTTCTATGATATAACTACTTCATTAAGAGTGAAGACATATCCACTTATAGATTTTAAATCCTTAATACTAAATATCCAATTAACATCACTAGTATATTATTCTAGCATTACTTTGTAACGAATATAGTATAGCCCATTGATTGATAGTTAAAAATGCATTTTTATCAAGGTTTTATATAATCATTTTGCACTTGAAGTATCAATAACTCATTAGTTATCACATGTTTTGTAATAACATATCGAATAATATAAGATACCTTTAATTTATGATAAATATTTATCTTAAATACAGGTCTATCACATAAATTAAGGGATTGATTGATGAGTTTAATAACTGAAATTAAAAGGATAAAGAGAGGGCTAAGCTTATAAAAGAGATGCTGGTTCAATCCAAACTGAAATATTATTCGGTTATTGGATCATAACTGGAGTTGTAGAACTTAGATTTAGGTCTACTTTATATGGATGAAAAGGTAAGACATGGGCTTAAAAATTTCATGAGAGTCCAAGATTCAAAAAGGTTGTTTTCAAGTTCAAATTGTAGCAACAACAGAGAAGTCCGAATCTATCCTATAGCCTAGACACTGCTCAATGTTCAACCTATATCTCGAGTTCTAAAAGTCCAAATAAACCGATTTTTTTTGGAAAACTAAGACAATGTCCTAAAACTTTCATATAGACAATTTGTTTGCTCTATTTCGTTATATTTTTTGTAATGCTTAAGTTTTGCTTTCATTAATCTCTTGTTTATGCCTTTCATTTCCTTTACTATACTTATATAATCATGTTCTCCTCTTGTTTATTTATGTTTCTCTTCTTCATTATGTTTAGATAACTTTATTATGTCAAGATGAAAAGGTTTAACTAATGGTGTTAGGATAAATATAATATAAATTCAATATGGATTTCAATGATTATATCTTAAACAACTTGCTATTAATATGTCTTATCATTTTTATCTTATTAATTCTTAATACCTTTCTTGTTAAATAGTTAATCTAAATTTGTGTTGTATAACCTACACTTGTGCTATGAAAGGAACTTGATTTGTTATTAACATAAGTCAACATAATGAATTCTTAACAATATTTAAAAGTTTAGTGTTACTTAAATAAGATAATTAATATGACTATATTAATAATTTAAAATGAGCTATTAATGAAAAATCATATGATTAGAACCTTCTTTATGTGTTGTTTTCAGTTGAGTAATAAAAAGAGTTTATATTATACTTATTTGAAATTCCATTAGGGAATCCTCTAACCTTGACATTTGTTTTTATTATTGTTTAATTCTCATATTAATCTTAAATCTCAAAGTATTATTATTATTATTATTATTATTATTATTATTATTATTATATAGTTAACCTTCATGTGGTTCAATCCCGATCTTGCCGGATTATTTATTACTTCGACACTCCTACACTTGGGAGAATATATAAATATTTTGATCGTGTCAAGTTTTTGGCGTCATTGTTGGGAAGGTAAATTACTATATAAATTATATGTTTTATTTTATTGTCTTTTCTTTTCTTTCCTTTTATCTAACTTTTATTTTATTTCTTCCTTTTATTATCTTCCTACATATGCATGATAATTTAGTTATGTACATTAAGTGGTAGACTTTGTAGGGTATTCTCATCATTTCTGTCACACCCTTGCGGTGAAGCGTGACATCATAGTAACCCTCGATTGCTTTCGGGGTTTTTATTTAGTGAATAAAGGAGTCAACACCTAGTATTATGATCACTAGGAACCCTAACTAGTCTTTTAGAGATTCTAAGGCAAGGGAATGGTTGTGTAAAAGGAAAGGTATTAGCACCCCTAGTACGCCCTACCTAAAATAAGCTATTTGGTATTTGGTTTGTTTTATAATTTCTATGGTATTGGTGTACTCTTAATTAGTTTTCCTATGATAAGTTTACTATGATGAATGGATTTGGGTTCAAAGTCTAAAAGCAAGAACCCTTGGCCAATATTAATCATATATTTAGAAATGTCTACAAAGTGCCAAGGAGAATCAATGTAGATATCTTCAAATCTATATTTGATTCATATTAAATTGATTAAGATAAAAATCCAAGGAGATTTCATGTACTTTAAAAGCTCATTTTTTCCTTAGTATTTTATATTCTCACGACTCGTAAAACCATGGAGTCAAAAATTGAAATGTCCTTGATTATAATCAAGTCTTCTTTCAATGATGTGTGATGACTTGTTATTCCTAGAAATTATTTTAAATATTTACCACTTAGGGTTTCTTTATCCAAATATTAATAGTAAATAATAGCAAGTTATTCACAATAATATTTTATATATTCATCCATTTAGGATTTCTTTATCTAAACATTAACGGTGAATAATAGTTGAATTCCCCCCTCAATAAGATTTTTGTATTTTTTTGGAATATTGGCCAATAACCTTTGAAAATTTACAAACATGTTGTAAAATCTAGAAATGCAAGAAAATAATTTTGTTGTGTTTAAGAAATCCATGTGAAAATTTATTTTTGAAACTTCCAATATTTTTTTATATAAAAAACGTTCAAAACATGTTAGGGTATCGGCAATATGCAACGCACAAGAAAATATTTTGTTTTTCAGACATGTATATATATGCAACATTTCATAGAAAATTAGGTATTTTAATACCAGATTTATATTTCTACAATATAAAAAAATACAAACCATAAACTAAATACACGAGAAAACCAACGATATTGCTTTCTTTTTGGGTTGGGTCCAGCGCAACCCATGTGGCTGGGCTGAACCCCGCGGGCCAAGTCAGGTCACTAGTTGATGGAGGTGAAGTGGAGGAAGACAACTGGTTGCTGCTTACAAAAGACGACCCTGCTCGCTATTCCTGGTGGAGACAGATTTGCTGGCTGAAAGATGATTGTCTCAATGATGGCCCTTTGATGTCTAATGATCAATGCAACCTCTACAGGGAAGAGAAGGATGCTGCTAGAGGAGTGACCTATGATCGAAGTAAAAACAAATCTCATCTATTGTTGCTAGCTTGTATGCTTAAAATGGCTAGGGTGATGGGGAAGAGATATGGTAAGGGAGATACTAGGACCAGCTGCTGGTGTGGAGACAAGACTATTCACACTACTAGATTGTTGTTGCAGCTAATACCTGCTTCTAGTTGTTAAGGGGCTGCAAGTCAGCGATGGCTGCTAGGCCTAAAGATGACACCACTTTTGAAGCTGGAGACGGTTACGCTCTGGTGTAGGACTTAAAAAAGAACTATCTATTTGGAAATTTAAAGTAAAGCTCTTAACGCTACTTATGGCTCATGATTTTGGCTGGTCTTAAGAAAGGTTGTTAGACCATGGGGAGAATCTGGTGGTGATGGGGAGAAGCCAAAAGAAAGAAAAAGAGGAAGAGGCTTTGGTTTTCTGGCTGTTCGGGTGATAGAGGGAAGATTTGTTTTGGTTCTGAGAATAGAGATGGAAAGGGTAGTGTGCGGCTGAAAGTGAGTTAGTTCCTGGAGAGAAAAAATAAACATAAGCAGGGAGCGGTGGCTACTAGTCTAGGTTTAGGTTTCTCCCAGGAATGGGTAAGTCTGGTTTGTCCTTGATAAAGAAAGGGGAGGGACGATGGTGGAACGACTATTGAGAAGGAAATGGGAGACGGGACCAGCTGAGTTTGTTAAGAGAGATGAGAGAAGAGACAGGGCTCATACCTTTCATTTTCTCATGCCATGATCAAACAAAAGATAGTCAATCACAACTTTGAAATCTTTAAAACTTTCAAACAGGTAAGGATTAATATACCTTTGTTGGATGCTATACCTTTCTATGCTAATTTTTTGAAAGATCTGTGTACTGTGAAGATAAAACTAAATGTAAAAAAGAAAGCTTTTTTAACCAAAAAAGTAAATACGAAGACCCTAATTGTCTTATAATTTCTTGCTTTATTGGAGAACATAAAATTGAAAGAAATTTACTTGATTTTAGAGCTAATGTGAATTTACTTTCATATTTAGTTTTTCAAAGTTTCAATTTAGATGAGATAAAACCAACTTTTGCTACTCTTTTACTTGCTGATAGATCTGTAAAAGTGCTTTGAGAAACAGTTAAAGATCTATTAATACAAGTCGATAACTTTATTCATCTTGTGGATTTTATTGTCTTGGACACACAATCTATTGAAGCATGTAATTCATTTCCTATTATTTTAGGACATCCATTTCTTTCAACTTTTAATACATTGATTAATTGTAGGAATGGACTGATGATGTGATGATTTGGAAACATGACATTAGATATGAATATTTTTAACATTTACAAGCAACCTTGAGATGATAATGAATTAGTTTGTGATAACTTTAATCTACTTTGAGTAAATTTAAGTTTGATGAATCTGAAGATTTGCAAAAGATTTATTCTCAAGAAGGAATCACGAATAAGAATGGCACCAAAAATATTAATATGGATTTTTTGTCAAAAGTGATAATAGATTCGACATCCAGCATCACACCAATTGATGATAACTTTTCTGACGAATCCTTACTTTCTCTTAGATCAATGCCTTGGTTTGCTAATTTTGTGAATTTTCTTGCTTCAAGAAATTTGTTAACTTATTAGAGTACCCAAGATAAAGGAAAGTTCTTGAATGAAGTGAAGAACTTTTATTGGTATGACCCTTACTTATTCAAATATTATCCTGATCAAATATTTTGAAGATGCATTCCAGATAATGAGGTAAGTAATGTCATTAAATTTTATCATTCTAAGGCATATGAAGGTCATTTCTCATCAAGAAAAACAATTGTAAAAATCTTACAAAGTGGATTTTACGGGCCCACTATGTTCAAGGACTCATATGCATTATGTAAAACTTGTGAAAATTATCAAAAAGTTGATATTAGTAAAAAATTCTTACTTTATAATTCTCGACTCCATTTATTTCCTGAAAAACTAAGATTAAGATGAAGTAATCATTTTATTGTGAAACATATGTATACATATTGGGCTTGTGATATTAAGAATCCGAAGAATGACAATGTTTTCAAATCTTTCTCCAACCCCAGTCAAATGACGGATAACGATACTCCATAACTTTTATGTTGGTTCTTTCAGTTTCCCATGATAACTGATATCTGTGTATATATTTGTTCAATTCCTTGTTCCTCCTCTTTTCTTTATATATTTTTTCCTCTCATTTAAAAAATAGATATCACTCTTGAAAAATTAAAAAAATATTTTTTCGCTTTGCCTCTAAATACAATTGCAAAAATTTACTGTGCTAAGTATGGAAGATTAAGGTTGTTGAATTATAGAATTCCTGAATATATTCATTAGCTAATTGAAGCAAAAGTCTAATTATCAGGTGAGTCCTCCAATTCTTTCATTTCATACATGCCTAGAACAAGTAAAAGCACTTTTGCAAAAAACATCGTGCAAAACAACTGAAAGTCTATTATAGATGTACCAGATGGACTTGTAATGCAACATGTCATTATTTAGAAATGGTATCTGTAAACTGTGAAGATAAAATACAATTTATTAAGGATGGTCTAAGTAAGGGGTCTTTAGATAATCTTCTATTAACTTTTGAGACACATCATAGTGGAGATGTGCATCGTGCAATTCATGATTTATGGCCACAACTCTATAAAGAACATGCTCAATAGTCTTAGAAATCTGACTAAAAAAGACCATGTTTGCCAGTTTTTAAGAAAACTGGATGAGAAGCCTATCCTCAACCTATAAAGGGCATTTAAACCATTCTTGGGCATAAAACCAAGGGAAGATGTGAGCCACAATCACAACATACATAC